ACCCACAGTCGAGATCTTTTGGTACTCACCGGCAAGCAAAAAACATAGTCAAAAATAAATAAAAAGAAAAAAAAATGAGAAACCGAAGAAGGAGAAACCTCATAAGAGTATTAAACTCTTTGGCATATTACTCTGCTCTAAATTGAAGACATTTCTGAAATATAATGGTAATGTTAACTTGTTCTGTTTCACCTTCTGTGTCTCTCTCTCACACACGATCTTTCTCTTCGACTCTCTCTGTATATATTGTATATATCTGATTATGTTTTGTCATTAGTCATATAAATTTATTCTGTTTCTCTCTCCCGTAATATATAATTTACCTATCGAAATCAAATCGATGACAGCATTATTGGCTAAAGATGTAATATTTGAGTTCTCAACTCGGTCTTATTTGGTATATTTCCAGCCATTTAACACTTGCCAAACATTCAAGTTCAGTCATCCATTCTATTCATTTATTGGTCGGAAATAGTGTAAGAAATACGAAAGTCAAACGATTTTGTGTGTTGACCAGGAATGAGTATCTGCAGTCGGTAGTGCACTTGATTTACGTTGCAAAAGAGATTTTGTTTAGCGAAGTAAATTCTGTACTGAACCAAGACATATAGAAAGCTTTAAGAAAACTTCAGTTCCATGGTTCTCTTAATAATTGCTGCCGGTTATTATTGGTTAAAAATAGACACTCTAACAGCCAGTAAAATTAGAAGGGAAATAGCTGCGAGAATACAGTTGGGAGTTAGAATTGAACATTGGCTGAGGATTTAAAATGGTTATAAGAAAATATACTTGCTGAATAAGATAATCAGATCAAACATACCTAATTGGCTGTCCAATATTTTCTCTGAATTGTCCAATCTCATTGCCACGGGGGTAGATTTTGACAACTACGTAATATACATCTTCTAAACTGAAATGAGAGCTATTTTTTGCGTTTCCTATATAAAGTCTGCCATCTGCCATACATACTCTGAGCAAAACCCAATACCAATGTACTTTGACGATTTCCAAATCATAAGAGTGAAGCGCGAGGGACTATACTTATCGTAGTCGTAATTGTCCCCCTCGTTGTACCAATCGTGTATACACTTCAAGGGTTTCAGTGCATGACATGTGAGATTTGAAAATGATTGAGGTTCATCAAAAGGTATTGAGCGTGGTTCTCTCGGCTGGCATAAGCGCTGGAAATATATCGTAGATCGTCTATCAAAGTTATAAACAATAAAAAATAACGTACAATAGCTTCCCTCTGAGCCAATTTGCAGAACTCTTTATCAAGAATGAGGCGTGGACTTCCGTGTAAATCGCGGTAAGAATTAATAGATTCCAGGAAAGCGAGTCTGAATTGCTCGTTGGATTGGATACTCAACTGTGAAAATTTGGCGGTTCAGAAATGCCATTTATAGATAAACAATTACATTTATATGCTACAATACCAACAAAATTAGTAAGACACTATGAAATAACCAAACCTTCCCAAAATACATGGCGCAAGATTTTTCATAGTTTTTGTTGTATTATTTTTATTTTTATTTACTTTTTTTGGAAAACTGTATATAATAGTTTTCTATGTGATTACTTTGTTCTAAATTACGATATAATTTTAACTAGAGAAATATACATCTATATACCCGCAATTGGATTAATTTACACAGCTTTACACACGTCTTCACACAGGCTAATAGAAACTTTTTTTTTTTTAAGAAAAATAATAGCAATAATAATAATAATAATAATAATAATAATAATAAGAAATTTAAAATAAAAACAATATACAATATATATTTTTTCAAATATATTATTATATTTATATTTATTGACTTCTATGACTGAACTTCAAATGAATAAAACATCAAATTTATATATTTAATTGTTATAATATGTTATTTAGTTTTAGTTGACTCTAGCTTTGTCAATATCTTTAAATAAATAAAATAAAATAAAAATTCCCTTTGCTAAATATATTAAATTCCCTCTAAGATATTCTTGAATCTTCTCAAATGGGCCACGAATATTTGTATCCCTTCCCTGGACGCATTACGAGTAATGCATTTTTGCATTAAGGTTCTTAAATGCTCATCGCGCTGCCATCCGGCGTTTGACTGGCTGACGGATTACCCCAAAGCGCTGCCAGTGGGTCGTCACAAAGGGTCGTTAAGATGGCACCCAGTAGTTTGGTAGTTTGGTGGGGGATTTCAATTATTATGGCCGGAGCAGAGGATAATGCGATGCTTTCTATAGTCAACGACAGCAGGATAACTCTATTACTGTCACACCCACACACAAACACAGATGCACATACGCACATGCTGCATGATATTAAATTTTTTGCTAGTGTTGAGGAGTTTGCCAATAAATGATGGCGAACAGCCCAACGAGCATCAGTGCTCCATATCCAGTGTCCTGGGATTGACAGTTTCCATGTGCACTTGCGCTTGTGTGGCTACGTGTGTGTGTGTGTGTGTGTAAGGATGAGTGCTGTACGATGGATGAGTTGTTGCCGCAACGCATGTGGCTGATGCTTTGGGCCATCATTGTTGACAACAATATCAGTGACAGCCACTGCAACAACAACAACAACAACATCAACAACAGTTGGCTAAAACGCGATTGTCAGTTACTCTGTCCTCTATTGGTCTCCGCTGTAAAATGTCAATTTGGGGACCGTGACGAAGATTTATTGTGTGCCGCGCCTCATTTTGATGGGCGTGCTTAAGTATCCCAAACGAATATGTGTATTTATACACGTATATATTTCTCTATTCCTCATATTTATTCACCTAATATATATATATACTTTGCTTGAGATGCAGTATTTTGATAATTCAATGGATCAATGGACGGACAATTGTGGCCAGCAAAAGTATTCACCCAAAAGAAATGAACTACTGCGCATATTGTATTATATCGTGGATATGCAGTAAAGATAAAATAGGCAAATTTACCTAGCAGTTAGAGCAAAGCTTCACACCATTCAATTGGATAATCCGTGCTAGAAAGACAGGAGCTAGTGAGAGTCTAAGTAAGTCTCCGAGCCATGAATAAATCTTTGGGAATGATGTATGCATATATACAGTGACATCCTACTCAACCAATTAATAACTTTTTCTACACGAAACTCATCTAAATTGTTTCAGTGTGAGGCTATTAAGCCCCTCTAGAGCTGCCCCTCAGGGCAATTCAAATTAAAGTCAGCTTTTTTCGTGTTTACATCATCATTTCCACTTGTTGCCAAAGAGGCTAAGTAAAAATTGTTTATTTATTGAAATTAGATTCTCAATGTATTTTGATAGAGATACATACATGTATGTATGTATGTATGTGCATATGCATTCATAAATTCCTTTGTCGACATATTTTATTTGTACACAACAGCACAAAATCTAGCTATGGATATTTACAAAAGTTAAACTAATTTCATTCGAATCGAGTCAGTCGTACGGCACTGTCTCACGCACACACCCACAATCCCATACACACACACAGTGATAGCATGCTGGGGATATTTTTCGCATTTATTGCGCTCCTCCACAGCGCTTTCCACATGTATCCAGGGCGTTTAGAACTTTACACCGTGGCACAGTCTGCGTAGCCTCTAAGCTCGTCCGCTGCTGGGCTGAGTGGCTCCAGCTCCAGCCACGCCCACAGCCACATGCACATGCAAGGCTGGTGGAAAGTGGGTGCCCAGGAGGCAGCCATGACCGACATTCGATGAATTGACCAATGCAACTTGTTATTTTTGTGTGCAACAGCGCGTTTCATTTGCCGCCCTGTGAGGAGGGGAACGGGGCGTGGGTAAGGTCAGGTTAGGCTGCTGGATAGACAAGTTGCCTTTGAAAGTTTTTCGTTTTTCGTTTTTCGCTCTTCGCATTTAGGTAGTTTTTCAGCGAATCGACAGAGCACGTCTGTTTCACCTGTTTCACCCGTTTGTCTGTGTTGCAGTTGTTGTTTGTTTGCGTATTATTGCCCCTAGATGGGAAATTGTGTTTATTTGTGTTTGTGCGCTGGCGTGTACAGGTGTTTGCACTCGTGTGCGTCGGTGAGCATGAGTTTAACGCTGACAATTGTGATTTCGCCGTGGTTATGCGAGTGGGTACGCAATCACAGCCTTTAATTAGATTTTTTTTATATCGATTTCAGCTGAATGCTTTTTCCTAGCCATAATAAAAATTATCAGTAGTCTGCTTTACATTCGAGCTCCTTCAACCGCAGAGCATCTGCAGGTCAAATGTTTACTCTCTCTCCCTCTCTCTCTCTCTATCTCTCTCTTTGCATTATTGCCTATTTAATTAATTATCATAAAACCCCATCAGCATTTGTTGTCCTGTCTTTTTACTTAGGTCCTATTAAATTCGCATTATGCTTGTTTGCTGCTCGCATTGGCTTTCATTATGAAGATGAATTGTTGCCACTGCAACTGGGTCGCCATCTGGAACTGGAAATAAAACTGGAACTATGTATGTCTAGGGCCGTGCGTAGCACACATGCCCAAGTGTTTGCCCTGCCATGCTGCCACCCTCTCCAGCACACCTCTGTCCCCTGCTGCGTGCTCAGGTGCTTAGCCCATGTGTGTGTGTGTGTGCGTGTGTGTGTTTGCCTTTGCATTGGTTAGTTACGTCTGGGTTAAGTGCTCCTTAAGCGCTTTTGCAAATGCCATTCATTGTGCATAGAACACAGAGCCGCCGGCCTTAGCAGCCCCAGCTGTTAGACAGCTCTTCAATACATTGCGCATAACCTAATCAAAATTAATGAGTCGAGCTGCTCTAAAGGCAGCAGTCATAATTGCTACAAGAGCGGGCAGAATACCTTCAATTAAACTTTGTTCATTTTCCAATGCCTTAGATTAGAGCAAACAAACTTGATCTATATTCGAATCCCAGACTCTTTCTCAAATGAGATTAACACACTCTGCTTTAATGTTCAACAATTTGAGTTTGTATTTTTCATTTGGAATAGCCTTAGTTTGTTTTTGATTTTCCAGCAAAATAGTCTATATTAAATTTGCAATCAACAATTGTTTGTCACACCTCTAGTTTTTTCATTCGCAATGGAAAAGACAAGGGAGTCAACAGAATCGCTGCCCACTTGCAGGGCGCCCGGACTGCCCATCTGTGAGCCGGAGGATACACACATCTCCGTAGTAGAGCAAGTGCCCTACAAAAAAATTGAGCCACCAGTGCCGCCGAAGACCCTATATTGCGACAGTATTGACAGACTCGATGAGCTGGAGGATGCGGATGATGAGGCAGAGGAGGGGGAGGAGGAGGAGGGGGATGAGGCAAGTGGCGGCCAGTCAACAAAGTCCGAGGAGCTGGTGCTGCTCGAGCAGATAGAAGCCGAGCTACTGGAGAAAAAGCAGGCTGTTGATCGTATCGGCGAGGAAATGGCATTGGACATGCCGGAATGTCCGTCGGAAGACTCCTGCGTAAACATGGAGCTGGAGCTGCAGCGGGGCAAGGTCCATCCCCACATATACAAGCTGCAGCAGGAAAATCACCAGCTGCGCCAGCAGCTGAGCAAGGCGCAGCTCAGCTGCAAGGCCATCGACCTGTCGCTGAAATACCTGCGCAACAGTTTCTGCCGGGATCTGAAGGCGGCAGCGATCTTGCAGCGCCGTCTGGACGAGCTGAACTCGTTCAAGCTCAATGTGGAGCACGAGCAGGCATTGTGCAGGCAACGCTACCGTCACCTGGAGGAGTCCAAGTACGACTGGGTCGACTGCAAGGCCTACTTGAAAGAGAACGATGCCCACACCCAGCGGCAGATCAAAAAGTTCGTGATGAGAGCCGATTACACACAGCCCAAGATCGACGCGGTCAAGCTGCTCACGAGGGCCAAGCGCAAGGCCATGTATGTGCACAACGCTCTGACCAGCAGAATGGCCAAGTTTGGCCAGTGGATCTGCACGGCCGCTGTCTCGCGCGAGTCGAAGAATGCTTGCCGCTTCAACTCCGACATATCTCTGTTTATACGCCGCAACGAGCACCTCCTTGTCAAAGAAAAGCATTAAAACAAAATCTGTGCGAAATGGGCTCGCTGTGTCGTGGAAGTGGGGCGTGGCGGGTGTGGGGGCTGGTAGCAGAAACGATCTAGCGTTAAGCAGCAGCAGTTCATTTGCATTTGTCGCTGAGAGGAGGGAGGACAGGGAAACGCCTTGATTATGTTATTCTTCCAGTCGGAGGCGTGTGCTTGACCATTTGCAGCCACGTGACGCCAGCTGCTCCAAATGGCGCCATTTTTTGTATCTCTTGGTGTTTTGGGTTTGTCTTGCTGCTGTTGCTTTTGTTGTTTCTGTTTCGGTTTTTGGGGCCTGACAGCAAAATGTATTTAGCATAAAAATTTACGATAATGATGCCAACAACATGGCCAACAACCTCAAAGGCCGCCTGTCCGCTGCCACCTGCCCTCACCCCCCTCTACGCTGTGCCACCCACTAAATAGACAAGCGTTTGGCGTCAAAAAGGACAACAACAATCGACACACGAAGAAGAAGAAGAAGGAGAAAAAAAATCATCAAACAAGGCTTAGGAGCGGGGCGTCAGCTTTTGGGGTGCCTTGCGGTTTGGGGCAAATGTCATTGCTCTGTTAACGCAAAAAGTTAAATTAATATTTTTCACACTGGCGCAAACTTTGCGCAGATATTTTTTTCCATTTAAATTGACGAATTTTGCGGGTTTTAACCGCCGCGTCAAAGTCAACTGTTGTCGCCTCGGCCAGTCTCTCCCATTTTCATATCTCACATTTCTGAATTCATATTTCATGTTGCTTGTTGCTTTTTGCTTGTTGCTGGGATTTTTAAAGCAGATTAGCAAAGTTTTCGGCAGTCATTTATTTAAACTTTCCTTTGACGACACCGCAAACTCTACTAACGGGAAAATTGAGAAGTGCTTGGATATGCTGGGTAGGGGTGGGGGGGTCTTTGTATCAAAACATTTTTGCTTTCATATCAAAATAATCAAACAAGTCTGCGAATTATCCATTGAGATGAGCTATAAATATTTTGCCAGCTTCAAACAATTTCAAGCGATGAACTTTTCATATAAGAAGCATACAAAAATAAATAAGTAAATCTTTTTATAACTTTTGGCACAAACTTTACGAATAGTCCAAGGACGAAGGAAAACGAAAGACGGAAGGCGGAAGCAGCGCCACATGCTCTGTCAAAATGTTCATTGGAAAATCGTTTTAATTGACAACACTTGAGAATTTGATGGCATTAGGAGTCGGGGCTAAGCGGAGCAAACTTTTCACATGCCATGGAAGAGGCGAAAGCAAAGTTTTGCCGGGAGTGTTTTTAGCCACCTAAGGTTAGTTTCTCTATGTATTTCTTACATGCTTGACATGCAGTGCAGAAATTTGACATGTGTCGTTGATGATTTACATTATGTGTATGTTTGGCTCAACTTTGCGTGCCTAGTTAGCCCAGAGTTGTTGTTTTATGAATGAAAAGTATGCTTAAAGGCGAAGCTGTGTGGGAGGCGACACGCTGTGAGTCCAGGTGGAAAGATTAAAGTATTTGAAAATGAAGGCATGAAAATAAAAATAAAATAAAAATAAATAAATAAGCCAGAGATTTTTATTATTTTTATTAAACCTTGAACTTGGAATTATATATAATATACTGACTTTTTTGACAACTTAAAAGGCAGAATAATACATATATAAATATATTCTCATTTTATTTTATGCATGTATTTGTTGTTAATCCTAGATGGATTGACTAGATCGTATTGTACGTACTGCCGAAAGTCTATTTATTATGCATGAATATGTATATGAAATGGTTTAGACTATGTTGGTATGAAACTACAGTGAATCCTCCATCCAGACAAAATAACGGAACAGAGCTCACTGAATCAGTGAATTTGAATAAATTTATAATATGTGTGCATCTTACATATATGTACGTATATTCACATATGTGTGTGTATGAATATAAATATATGTCTGCCCCACTGCATGCATGTATGCATGTATGCATATATGCATTTAATGTGTGAGTGTGTGCGTCGAATTACCTATAGTGTGCATACCTTGCAGTTGCAAAAGCCGGCGTAAGTGGGGCTTGGCTGAGGGAGTTGTGATAAAAAATATAAATAAATGCTGCAGAGTCCATGCAGTTTGGTATTTTATTTTGCCAAACAAAAACACACACACACACACACACACGCACACATATACGCAACTGCACCCACTCGCTAGGATCTAGAGCTAGTTGGGCCCTGACTTGTTCATGCATGCCTGCATATTCTGTGAGCGAGTGTGTGTGTGTGTGTGTGTTTACATGAGTGTATGCGTGGCATTAGACGACATTTTTTTCATTCAATTTAGAGTCAGTGGCTGCAGTCGGCTTACGCGACACGTATGTGTGTGTGTGAGTGTGTGTGTGTGTGTAACCCGCTCTTATCCGCTCACATCTCATGCTGCTGCCCCTGGAGCCGCGCTCCGCAAATGCGTCTATAAATTATTCATTTCGTTTGAGATGTTTGATGTGGCATTGCCTGAGACTTCTTTAAGGATGCGCCACACACGCACACACACACACACACACACACACACATCCTGGCATCGACCGCAGTGGGCCACGACTCGAGCTGGGTGCAAACGGGCACCTTTACCCGCATTTCATTGAATTCATTCATTTTTTAGCAGCTCTTGCGAGCGACGGATGCTGCCAAGCCACTTGGCATTCTCCCTCTCTCTCTCTCTCTTTCTTTTGCCTGCAATTGTTGCTGCTGCTGCTTGCCACAGCTTTGCATAAATAAGATAAACACGAGTATGCGCAAGACACACACACACACACTCACACATTCGCCCGTTGCATCTTCCAGCATCTTGCAAGTCGGACTCGACTGATGTGATTTATTTTGCACTCACTGTTTGCCAAAGCAAAATTGATTGAAGCGTTTGTTGGCGCGCCAATTGATTTTCACTATTGCATTTGCCCGCACTTACAACCTAAACTAAATGTAGACTCCTGCTTTGAGTTGACCTGGCCTCTTTCTTCACTCCCCGCCGAGTATTGTCCCATTTACATTGCTTGAATTAACTTTGGTCAATTTGGTTTCGACTGAGCGAAGATTGCATTGAGCCAGCTTTTGCCACTCCTTCAGCTTACTAACAGGAGTAAATATAGAGTAGAATAGAAGAACATAAAAGTATTGTTGGGAGAAATAAAAAAAAAAAAATAAAAAACTAAATAAACGAGTTTTTATTCCCCTTAATCTTGACTGTGTAAAAAAGATTTCAATTAAATAAAAATATTCAATTAACATACATATATAAATTATTGTTTTCTTGCCTGTAATAGAACTAGCTCAGATAACTAATGGCAGCCAACGTAGCTAAAGTCTTAAGCCAATTAAACACAGATAATTAGCACTCAATTGGCCACTTAATTATTAAATTGGACAATTAAGAATGATTTGTGAGTGTGACTGTGTGTGAGTGTGTTTGTTGTTTATTTGTTTATTTTATTTCATTGGCTGTCAATGGATGCTTGGATGCGATTTAATTGCTGTCGAGCGCTTGTTAAATGCCTTTGCACTTGAACGCGCTGACGTCAGCTGCACAAATGGCAACAATTCATCACAGGCCGTGCTGTATGTGATTTTATTAAGTGACGCTGATGGTGATTGAAGCACAGCTGGCACATCAACACCTGGCACGAGCACAGCTACAGTTACAGCTACAGGAGGTGGCATTGGGCTGTGGGAGCACCATATGAACCGGGCTGCTGCAGGCCGCATAAATCTTGCCTGTCAACTGCACAGCAGCCCAAATAGACGGAGCCAGCCATAACAGAAGACGGCGAGCGCGTTCCGCCAGACATAGATAAAACAAATAATTATGCAGTATATATTATATCAGAGTCTCATTTTGTAAGTAGAGGAAGACGACGAAGAAGAAGCAGCCGTGACACGCAACTGCAATGCCATTCCATTTTATGAATGGGCATTTATCATAATTAAAAATGCTGCCTTTTGCCGGCAAACAACGATTGCCGCAGCCTCAGCCGCAGCCGCTGTCTCTGTCTCTGTCTCTGTCTCTGCCTCAGCTGACGTCGCAGCCGCAGTGGCAGTGGCAGTGGCAGCCACGACGACATTTCTGACCTAAGACATGCCACAACGAGTGCGTCACGAGTGCGACGACAAGGACGAGGACGTGGCTGACTGGCGTGTATTAACGTTTAGCCCCATTGCTCCATTGGCTTCATTTCAGTAGCTCAACAGCTGTTTGGCTTGGGACAAACACTTTTTCGCTTTGGGACCGAGTGCCATGCAAATGAGCAGCAGCTAACTGTGGCATTGGAAGCACGCCATAAACTCTCGCTCTCTCTCGCTGTTTCTCTTAGACAGCCTGTTGGTGTGTCGCTGTTGTAGATGGCACTGCGCCTGCGCCGCGTCCCAAACACTCTCCGAACACACCCATAACGCGAGCGCGCTCTTAAAAGTATGCAACACATTTTGCCATAAATCGTGCTCTGCCTGAGCTCGTCTCGTGCCTCGGCTGTGCGTGTGTGTGTGGCGCCTGCTTCGGCTGTGACTACGACTGCGACTACGGCAACGGCTACGGCTGTGGCAGCGGCTCGTTATCGACATGTCGCCACTTCGCATGCCGTTCTCGTTGACTCCAGTTGTGTGCTCGCAGCTGCCGCGTGAGCGTCCAGTTTAATCGTTGTCGCTGACGTCGTTGTTTTCGGTCTTGTCTCGTGTTGTCGCTGTTTGCCGTCGCTGAGCTGAGCTGGCGCGGTGTTGTATGCCCCATTTGATCGGTGATTAAGATGCTGCATCTGCCGCTAATCGAACGAGCCGAGTGAATGCCGTGCGCCGAGCCATCGCCCAATGTATTAAGTGCCATATGAATACACACTGAAGTGACGCCTAAAGGGCTGATAGTTTGACGGGCTGACGGGCTAACGGGCCAACGGGCTGACGAGCTGACGAGCGACGGGTTTGACGTGCTGACAGGCAACGGGTAACGCCTCAAGTGTCTGTTTGCCAATTCCCAATTTTTGCCGCCCAAAGTGAATTTCAGCAATAACAACAACAACAGCAACAACAATGTCGTAATCAGCCTGCCTACCTCTGTGTGTGTGTATGTGTGATTATGCGTATGTGTGCGTGTGCCAGCGTGTGTAATCCAAGAAAATCTGTCACGTGCTTTGGATATCCCTGTGTGCTACTCCACGCGCAGCGTATTTATTGAATAAAATAAAAGGTGAGTAGCAGCAGCAGCGACAACTCGGATTAGTAGGCGTATGAGCTACATATACATATATATATGTATATATGCATGTAAAACCAACACACGTTAAATATTCAGCTTAGCGGAACGTGACATGCAAATAAAGCAGACAGTTTTCTTTTTCAATAATTGAATAGCTAAGACAATAATAACAATGAAATACTTAAAAGACTAATAAAAGCGAAATATTCATTTAGCATTAAAGCTAAAGCATAGCAGTTAACAGTGGATTTTCCGTTGCAAGGCAAGTTCGAGGAAATTCCATCAGAAATATTCGCGTTTGGCTCAACTTGTTGACTTATGAAGGCTCTTTAATTAATCACTCATTACAGTGAACTATGGCTGCAATGACTCGATTCGTTTATGTTTCTGGCATTTCAATTGCATTCAATAAATTATTATTATATTTATTTTTTTATATTTTTGCTATATTTAAATTTAATTAAATTAATAATATCAATTGAAAGAGATAAATGCAGTAAAAAAATAAATAAATAAATAAATAAATAATAAATATATTTATTAAAATATGAACTATTTAATTATATTCAATTTAAATTATCATTACCTACAATTATTCAATTTATAAAAATCATTGGCAGCACTTAAGCACAAATTCACTGAAAATAAATCATTAATTGACATCTATTAAAAAATGATTAGATTATTATCACCATCATTATACAAATAATATGTAATTTTCGCAGTTGCTCCTTGTTAAGTTAACAAGCTATACTATAACTAGTTGACCTATTTAGCTGGCGCCTCTGGAATGGTATAGAAGTCGGCCTGATTTACCTCCTCGCATTAACAACGATTAACTTGCGTTTGTCTCTTTTGCGCCCAAATTAAATGACAGAATTTGATTATATTCCCGCACGCACACGGCGTATTTTATTTTTATTTTTTTTGTATGCCTTGTTTAGACAAGCGCCCGTCGCTCATGTTAACTAAGCGCCCCAAGCGCATTAAAATACAATTCAGAGCCAGCTGGGGAACAGGTGCCTCCGCACGGCCAAACTGCTCAACTTTTCCCCCAATTTTTTATTTAACAGCTATGAAAATATCATTAGAAATTTTCAACACAACTTCAAAGGTGAAGTTTTCATGAAAACCAGCAAAAAAAAAAAAGAAAAGAAAACTAAAATAAAAGAGAAGCAAATGCTTTTGTATGCAAAACAAAATGAAAAGCGGGCGAGAATCTGTTGACTTTTTAGGCATTCTTCCACTTGAATATTATGAATTTTATATTGTTCGTCATTTGGGCTGGGCTTTTGGCCGCGAGCCAAGTTCATGTAATTTACGCTCGCGCATTTTTCAATTGGCCATGTTTTCTGGTTTGTTGCATTCGTCGCTCGTCTTTACTTCAAGTTCATTGTGCATTAATAATGTAGTTGTCTCTCAACACACACACACACACACACACGCACAGTTACACGCAGGACAACTGTCCCTTTTATGGCACATAATTTGATTCAGTTTTTGTGTGACACGGTCCGTCGTCCACTTTGGGAGCCCAGCTGTTCGTTAACATGGTCATGGGAATTGCGGCTGCAAGTGTGTCATTTGCATGGCTGCACTTTTTGTTTTTGTTTTTGCTGTTGCTTTTCACTTGTATTTTATTTTATTTTATTTAGTCTTTATTTTTTTACTCACAGCGGTCGAGTCGTGTCGACCGCAACACTTCACTTTATTGGTTGAAACGTTTGTGGCGCTGATTCAATTAATTGCTGACAATAACTAGGTGTCGCTATTTAGTCATATGCACTTACGAGACATGGACTCAGAAAAGGGCTTAAAGGAGCGTACGACTCGAATGCTCGGGTTTCGGGATTCTATACCTTTTGTAAACTGTAAGCGGTCGAGTTTCAAGTACACCTCCTCTTCTTCCTCATGGCTGTACATCATTTGTAGCGCTGTCCAGGACTCGGAACAATGCTGTGGCAGACAAAGGGCTAGCAAATTTCATGAAAAATGACATTCAATCGCATTTTTCATTATTTGCGTAGTCCTCGCCGGTTTTTTTTTTGATGTGCTTCCGGCTCATCCTGCCTGACAGTTGCTCCAGTCTGTCTTCTAATACTATTTTTTTTTTATAGTTTTATTTTGTAGTTCTTGCAGCACATTTCACAGCAGGCGGGCGTCTTGGAAAATGCAGAATAATGAGGAAACTAACGAGCCAAGACTTCTCTCCATTGTTTACTGGCGCAAAAATTGCGCGATTATTAATTTTCTATGCTATTTTGTAGCAGTTCTTCGTGCCAGGCGTCTGCTGCAGTAGCGGCACATCCTGGGCGGCTCCTTTGCCAGAGCCAGAGCCAGAGCCAGAGCCAGACGCTGCCGACACTTTGCTTTATTTCGCTGCCCGCCTTCGTTTGGCCGCGTTTTCTGCGTTTATTTTCGCTTCCTTTGGCAGCACAACATTTTTAATATTTTGCAATACTCTTCTTCTCCTGCTTGGATTTTCTTTTCTTTCTTTCTTTTTTTTTTATTTTTTTGTGCCTGCTGCGTCCTTCCGTCTGGCAAGCACTGAGCCAGGACGCGAATTTCGCGAGCTCTCGACAACAGCTGTGAAGTTGGACGATTTTGCTCCACGTTCCACACACACCCCATGCTTATTCAGGATATTCTTACGTACACAATTACACTTGCACACACACACACACACACACACACATACACATGCTCATTTACTCTCTGGCTTTGCTTGAACTGACACATTTTCGCGTGTTTTCGCAGTCTTTAAGTTGCTTGTTTCATTTCTCGCAGTCATCAATTAATAAAAACGTTACTTCCGCTTGTAGCTCATGACATCTTCAGGGATGAGATGAATATTCAAAGGAATGTGGAAAACAAGAAGAAATTGAAACAAAGACAAATTGAATATAATTTCTTGTTAAATACCCTTCAATTATGTTTTTGTCTCTATGGAGTTTGTGTGTTTCGAGCTGCCATTGTGTAATAATAATATAAAAATATACATACATTTTTATATATAATATAATAATACAATAACTCATCACTAAATCTTCCTCTTATCAGCATTCAATTGCTCATCATATGAAAAATATTTTTACTTCTTAAAAATAACAAATTATGGCATTAAAAAATAAATTTAAGTATACATCAAATCTAATTAAAAATAATAAATAATAAGATATTAGAAAACAAAAACTAACTAAAACAGATTAAATAAATAATACGATAATATAATATAAAAATAACAATTACAAGAAAAATCACACATACATATATACATACACTTATACACCTATATATTTAGCATAACACGTATCGAGAATGTTTTTATAAACTGTGTCAATTAATTAAGCCACTGAGTTATATTCGCCATAAACATTTCCCACAACTCTCATAAACTGTAAACTTAGAAGGGAAAGTGAGAGTGGAGTGGAGTGAGGGAGGCGGGAGTGGAGACTCATAATACAACTCTTGTGTTTTCTTTTTTCTTTTTTTTATGCATGTACACTGTTACAAAAGGTAATAAATTGTGCTCTTTTTCTCATACTTTTTCAGGTGAGTGCGACTGGGATATATGAAACTTGGCAACTTGCGGCACACAAATACAAATACAAACACAAACAGAAATGCAAATACAAATACAAATACAAATACGAATGCGAATATGAATATGAATATGAATACAAACACAAATTGTTCGCCGTGGGCTGGCCTTCAGCGTGGCATTTGAGCGTATGTAAATACATTTTTAATTTAAAATAAACATGGTTATTAAGTTAGGCATTGCCCTTGCGTACGTATATGTGAGTCCAGTTCCTGGCAATATCCGCCTTGAAAATATAAAATAACTGTGAAACGGCATCAAATCCAATTAGTTAATATGAATTTTTGATGAAATCACTTCCGCTTCAAATGCAAAAAAGTTGTACGCCTTCTCGGTCGTCGTTATCATCATCATCATCGTCGTCAATGTCGTCATCATGATGACTACGGTATTTTAGTTTACTCTTTTTTTTTCCCTTTTTGTTGGAAAACTTTAACGCATGCCACTTTTTGCTGCAAGTCATCGGGTTTTACACACACATACATAAAAATACATATATATATATATAGATATTTTTTTTTTCAGTTCTGGCATAAAATTATTTATTGTGTGTTTGCCACAATAACCGCAATTTGCAACTTTTTGTGGCATTTTGTCGGCGTGTTGTCAAAATGTTTGTGTGCCCGACATATTTAAATATTTCATTTGTCGCACGCTCACCGAACGTCACCGACACGGCAGACGGGCAAAAATTAGTTTGCGTATACGTAATCAGCTTTGCGTATACGTAATATTTGTATATGAATTCGCCTTCTACGCACACATGAGCAACTTTTTCGCCGTCAGCTCGCTTTCCGCTTTATTTTTTGTTCACATTTTACTTTTATTTATATTGTTTTTTTCGCTTCTCTTTGCGCTGCGTTCGTAATTTTAATTCTTTCATTTCGTTGTATTTTTTGCCTCTTTTATTTCTTTCTTTCCTTCTGTTTTTTTGGCTCTCATTTCTTGTTCTGTTTAAACTTTTTCAAAATGGCCTGCTTTGTCGCGTTTTTTTTACCTTTTGCCTTGCTGCTCCTTGTTGTTGTTGTTGTTGTTGTTGCTGCATGTTTTGTATGCATACAGCAATTGATATAAAATTTTAACGAGGTGCGGTCGCTTGTTTGTGCTTTTCTCCGCTCACTTTTTGCTGGCTTTTCGCATTGCCATTTCCTAATTTACCATTGCTGCTGGCTGGTGCTAAAAGAAAAAAATATCTAGGATTTCTTCATTTCGAAATGAATAGAAAATTTTAAAATTAGAAGCTTTAAAAAAAAGTCGCTTAAAATAATCGCATTTATTTTGTGCAAATAATTCGTCGTTTTATATATTTGAATATATGTTTATATTCTTATGAATTGTTGTTGCACTTAAATTGCAATTCGCCACATGCCACAAGGCAGCTGCCTGGTTG